CCAAACCCCCAAAACCCCAAAACCCCAAAACCCCAAAACCCCATTACAGCTAATGGTTATTGAAAATTCTGCTATAATAATGAAAGCCAAGCAGGCGGGTGGTTCAAGAGAAAGATTAGCAGATAGAACTTGACTTTCTCCATCTTAACTTCCTGCATGACCTCAACTGGTTCCTAATATCTTGGAAGTTATCGTAGAATTGAGTGAGTTTTCTTATCCCAGGCGCACATGTCTCTTTTAATATCTTCTCGTCTTTGTAATCGGTCATTATTTGGGTTTTGTTCTTTGGGAAGCTTATCTCACGGAATTTGGAATTCTTGGCACTTGAATTATCAAATGCTGATGGGTTATCTAAAATTAGGATTATTGAATATAATTTACTGATTCTGAAGAACCAATACTCTAGATTTTAAGAAAACTAAAATAGGATTGGGAACAAGTTTTTGTGAAATTTCTGGATATTCTTAAATAAAATTCTTGCAGAAGCTAGCATAAAGTGATTTAAGAGCCTACAATTTGCAATATCACTTCTGTTGGATTGGGATAACCTTCTCTCGAAAGAGTCTCTCTTATTTGAAGGTGAATTTTGGATAGTCTGGGTCTGGCTATATTCCTTTTTCATCCTATCAACTTTAGTTATTTCTTTGCAATGGATATTAAAACATCTATTCAACTTCGAATTCAGGTTCAGTCTCAGCTTAGGACACATATTCTTAGTGACATGAGTAGTACAGCTAGCTGTTGTTGACAACCTAGTCTGAGGTTGACTCATCCTACGAGTTTGGAAATTACTCTTCTTCTGTTTCTTGTTAAGATTAAAGAAATCCATGACTTTCTGTTCTCTCTTGATTTCTTTTTCATTATTTAATAAACTTAATTATGGAGTTTAATTTGTGTCTTCTAAAGATAGCTTAAAGACTTTACTTTTGAACATCTTTATTGGTGTAAAACTTATTCGTAAACTTGTTGAGAGACATTGAAGCCTTGTTAGGAGTAAGCTTATCACTAATTTCACATATCTCGATTAATTTTTTAGACTCCCTTTTGACACTTTGAGCATTTTGTGGTGAAGTGTCACCAACTTTAATAAAGAATTCGTTAGATATTTTCTTAGAGCTATCTCCTTGTTTAAAACCCTCGTTGCTTTCGTAAATATTCATGGAGCTAAATCTAGATGTCCTCGTATTTCTGTATCCAGCTTTGGTCCCTCTTTTTGGAGATTTTGAATCTAAAGGCTTTAGTATATAAGTACTTTTCTTATAGAACTCTAATTGTCCCATTTTGAGGACATCTGAAAATTTCTTGTGAGTAGTAAAGGCATATAGAAGCCTCTGATGTTTATCGTGTTCTTCTTTTCTAAGCTTGAGCATCTCTTTCAAATTGTGACCTTTCCCAGTCATGTTATTAGTGATGTTTGCCTCTTGAGCTATATAGTGCCATTTTGACACATCATTCTTCTTTTCACAGTAGATTAATGGTGGATATGGGAATAATGGTTCTCCTGGGTTAGTCTCTTTCTTCTCAGGGTGGTAGCTTACAGAATTGTATCTTCTTGAGTTCATTGCGGTTGAAGGACTCAACTGGTTTGGGCTAAAATCATCCTGAAAAAATCTGGTCATCTTTAGATCAATAAGAAATTACCAGTTAAGTTGACCAAGTATTGGCTTATTAATGTCTCTGATTTCCTATATAAAGAGGATATTGATAAAATGCTTTAAGTCCTATGAACGCTTCGGTTGAATGCTCAAATTTAGGTGCAGATCGCGTGACGAATCATTTTTGTACAATCTCGTATATGAAAAAGGTTCCGAGAGCTTAAAAGATGAAAGAATCTTTATCCCTGCATCAATTGATTACAGAAGTATTAGACATAGAGATTTTTGCTCACATTTTAAGAATTTGAAGTATTTTCAATTGATTTTGAAAGATAAATTATTCCAATAATATGAAAAGAATGTAACAAAGTATAATAATTAAGTTAGTAAAAATTTAGGTACTTACCTGAATGATAACCTTCTTAGATTTGAAATTGTTGTTCACCTCCTTAGCTCGAAGGATACCTTTCAGTGGAATTTTAGGGTTCGAAGAGTTCATAATATGCTATTTCAATAATTATTTTTTATTATGGGGTTTTGGGGTTTTGGGGTTTTGGGGTTTTGGGG